AAAAGAAAGAAAAAGAAAAAAAGAAGAAGGAAAAGTCTAGGCAATCTTTAGGAAAGCTAAAACAATGTAAGTAGGTTTATGTTGTTTTATAATATGCTCTAAATTTCTTGTATATATGCTTAAATGAGGTGGTTGGTGAAGGCTTTCTATTATGTTATTTATGCTAGTTTATATTGATTATATTTGTAATAGGTGTTGGATGGCTTGATGTCCATTTAGTGAGGAACTCGTCCATTTAGTGGGGGAACTTTATGGTTGGTTTAACATATGTGATGATGGATGGTTGGTATGTTGATGTATCCACGTGAGATCTATGTGTGATGTATGTTTAAATGTGTGTGGATGGGTTTGGTTAAAGCAAAATGAGCTTGGATCTCTTTAGGAAAGCATTCGGCCTAGGTACCAAAATGGCCAAAGTTGGATTTATTTTATGGACCTAAAGATCTAGACCTCCAAGGTAACCCACTTAAGTATAATTTAGTAAGTCGGGATGAAAAGAAATGATCTAGAAACAAAAGACAATCATTTGCCCTTTTTGGACCCATTCGACCTAAAACCCAAAAGTTTGGGTTTCGAGTTCCACTCATCCAATTATGAATCAATGGTTCAAATGCACCAAAATAAGTATAAAATGAAGTGTAGAAAGGTTAGATTCTAAGAAAAATGGAAATTTTGATTTAGACTAGGAAACATTTGGCCTAAACCCTATTTTTTACAAATTGAGTTTCAATCATCTAACTCCATAATAAATGGTCCATGACACCTCAATAAGTATAAAATGAAGTGTGGGAAGGTAAGATTGCAAGAAAAATCAAATTAAGACCTAGATCTATTGAATCAAATTTCAGCCATTAAGACTCAATTTCGGATTATGAGGGAAATCCCACTTCGAATACGCTCTAACACCTTCCTAGGACTCGAAATACGGAAATTAATTAACCCTAATAGGTGGGTTTTATATTTCTTGTGTGACAAAGATGATTCTGAATGTTGTATGAAAATGAAGGGTTTGGTACCAATGATTTGGTAAAATGGGGTAAACAAATCATCACGTGTATCATATGCATTTAGGGGTGGTTTGACTTGAGAAACGCAATTGAGTCAAGAAACGATGAGGTTTGGTAACCGACTTGGTTTGGAAATTAGATAGGTTTGATAACCTAATTAGATTAAATGGGTATTAGCAATGAAGCTATGTGCGCGCTCTATTAATTAAATACACCGTTAGACGATGGATAATTTTGCTAACCGTGAGCTATAACGAGGGATAATTCCATTGCTAGCAGTAGGTGATTCAGGTAATCATTGAAGAATGAGAATAGAAGCGGACTTGCTAATACCTAGGGTACCCGAATTAAAATCAAAGGGGAAAGGCTAAGTGATAGAATTGCATTGCATCTCACATGCATTACCCTACTTATTGAGCTTTAGCTCACTTTGTTATTATTTGATGCTATGACAAGTAAAAACGATGATAGTATCGATAAAGAAGGCTGTCGGTTTCTCCCGGAAAATGGCTCATATGTGACGGGAAAAATATAAGATTCACTTTTGATTGTAATTAAGGGAAATGGTGTCTATTAGTGGGTAAATAACATCTCAAATATTTTATGATCATTTGTAAGTTATTATTTATTAGCTATGTAAAAATAGGAGTAAATTTGCAACTTAGTCTCTAAACCGTAATGCACCTAGCCGCACTTTTTAGGTAATTGGTAAGGGAGTTAGGGGCGTCACACATGCATTTTAGTTACTCATTTAGAATCGGAGAATTCATCCGGTGGTTGATTTGCAATACCTTATAAATGAATTATCTTTTGAACTTCTAATTCCATTATTTTGTATAAGAATCAAGATGATATAAGATAAGGTACTCCATGTAATATCTTTTTCTAACATTTCTAGTCGCTTATTTTATTTATTCTCTCCCCCTAATGTTGAAAAAACTATTTCATCAAAATGATAGTCGATAAATTGAGTTGTAAAAACATCTCTTATTCATAGTTCAAGATATTTAATTATTGAACATGATTCAAATCCAACATATATTTCAACCTCCTTTAAGTGCTCATTTTAATTCATTATGGAGGAACACTATGGATATATACTTGCAATGCTAAAAAATTCTTACATAAGAAATATTTAGCTCATTACCATAAACCAATTAAAGGGGAGATAATTTCTAATAACTTATGGGTTTGATGCAAACAATCGTTATTGCATGGAAGATTGCTTGTCCCTAAACATAAATATAAAGTTTTATTTTAAATAATGGTTTAGCTATCAATTGGAGCCTTTTGATAAATGATTTTACTAAACCTTTTATGAGTATGAATATGAGCAATAGGATGTTTAACCTTTATTCTAATAGTCAATCAATAATAATTTAATACTTGAGAAATAAATTCACCATTATTATCAAGGTGACTTGTTTTAATAGCATAATCTAAAAATTATGCTCGAAATCAAATTATTTGCTAGCAATCTCAAAAACATTAAGTTTTGAGTAGATAATAAGCATATATGTATCCATCTTATGAATGTATTTATTAAAATCATAAAATATTTAGATGGTCCACATAGTGGATAAATTAATTCACACATATCACCTTGAATACATTCTAAAAATACTAGAGATTCAATCTCAATTTTACTTGGTGATTGATTAATCATCAATTTGCCTTGACAACATGAAGAATATGAAAATTCATTAAATTAAAGAATCTTCTAACTTTCGGTAGATGTTCATATGAATTTTTAATAATATTTTTGCGTCATGAAAGACCCAAGATAACATAACCGATTATACCACATAATAAAAACATTTGAATTAGTAAACTTTTGATTTACTACAGCATTTGTATTTTCTACCCGATATAATGATTATAATATATAAGTATTCACATTTGTTATCTTGATATGATATCAATTTAGATGAATATCTTTGAAACTAAAAAAATTTCAATGAGACTTTGAAGAGAATAGTACATCATGTATAATAAAATTTATTATTTCGAGACAATAACATATTTGCTCTTCTAGAGCTTTTAAATTATGTCAATTCAAGTAATAATATATTGACTCTTGTAGAACCTTTAAAAGTTATCTCTTTAAGTAATGATATATTCATTCTTCTAAAATTTTAAAAATTTATCTCTTCAAGTCATAATCTAATTGATCTTCTAGAGCTTATTTTTAAATTGATATTATCAAATATAATATTAACATAAATTAAATAAATATAATTTTCATGACCACAAATAAATAAATATATAGTAAAATAAATTTATTACTATCTCTATGCCATAAAAATTATAAGAAAATATAAAATATCTTATTTATAAATAGAAAAGCTAATAAGTTATTAATTTCAATTACCTCTATTTTGATATATAAAATTAGCCTCTCTATTTTACTCTTTTCTTTTTCAATGAGGTTCGATAAGGCTTAATGAAGTGCTTTGGTGTATGGCGGGTACACGACTAAGGTCCATTCATACCATATCTAAAAATTTCATTTTCGAATACCGACTTTATCTCTTTTCATTCTTTTTTTTTTTTCATAGTTATCCACTTCGGTGGTGAGATGTAATATTATGGTCATCACGATGTAATATTATGGTCATTATGATTATAATGATAATTATTTCGACCATGCTTATGACTATGACCACATCTTCGTTCATGCCTAAAATTATTATAAATTATCACATTCACTACAATGAAAGGAGTAGATCCAATTACATGAGATTTATTTTTTTTCATTAATAACTTTTCATTTTATTTAGTCACGGACAAGTATGAAATTGATTCAAAATATTTCTTAAACTCTTTTTCTCAATATACTACTATATGAGCATATTCAAGACATGACAAGTAGATGATACCAACTCATCATCAAGCACTCATGATCAATAATTCTTACCCAAAATGTCAAGGGCCATAAAATCAAGTTTTGTGATGATTGATATAATTAAAATTGTATATTATGAAGTATAATAATAATATTAGAAAATAAAGATAAAATATAATAATAAAATTTAAATAAAAACAAACATAATAATAAAATTTGAACTATTAGATTCTATTCATTAAATCCTTTAAGTTTTTAAAATGTACATTTTATGTATCATTAGATTTAAAATGCATGATAAATTAGATACGTACCTCTTAATAATCTAAATAATTTACATTTTTTGGTAGAGTACTTATGTAGAAAAAAAATCCAATGATTGAAACAAATGATTAAGTCTTTTGATAGATATGTACCTCATGGTCTATTATTTCGACTAGTTAGAGTTTTGTATTGATAACGTGTTATGAAAGAAATAAAAATAATAGGATAATTAAAGAGGTAACAAATCCAAATAATCTCTTAATCTCTACAAAATACTTATACATAAATTAATGAACAATCAAGCCTATTTACAAGTTTTAAAATTAAAAAGAGAATTAAAAGGGACTATAAACTATTAAAAGATGCATAAATAATTGAATAAATTATATTATTTTTTTAATTTTTTATATTTAATGATGATTTGAATCATATTAAGAATAATAGAAAGTAAGAATGTGAAATGTTCATGAATATTCAGAAGGAAAATATTAATTTGACTTTACAAGAAAGAAAAAAACAATAGGGAAGTTACTTTTTCCGTTTGGTTACAACAGGAAAAAAAGAGAAGAAAAACCGAGAGAATAATTTCCCTAAACCAGGACTGGAATAAACTTGTCCCCAGTCCGAGAAAACAGATCAAAAACCCAAACCATACGCAAGAAGCACTACCGCTTTATCGTCTCCAAAGATATAACGCCCATCAAAATTCATAAGCAAACCCTATTAAGTAAAAATTCCACCTGCATTCCTCAATCCTCAACAAAACCCTAGAAAAAAATAAGAAATAATCTCTTTTATTTTCGCTGTAAAAGAAATCCATTTTTTTTTTTTAATAAAAATCTGTTAATTAGTCTAATATCAGTAATTTGCACCATTATCAGCTCATGGACCTTCAACGAGCTATGCTAGATGAACTCATGGGTGCAGGTAATAAAACCCTAATTTTATTTTTCAAGCTCATGCATTTACTGCTATTGATTTCACAGAGCTCTGATTAATTGATTGATGGTATTGGGCTGTTAACTTGTTTAGAATTTTGGGTTTTTGTTTGTTTTGTTAAAGATCGTAATTTGACGGAGGAAGAGAGGAAAGATTACAAGGAAATAACATGGGATTCAAAGGAGGTTTGTGCCTATTATATGGCTCGGTTTTGTCCTCATGACCTCTTTGTCAACACCAAGAGTGATCTTGGTAAGTTATTTTACTTTTAAGTTGATCGATTTTTATTGGATTATGTTAATTTCAGCTTCTTTTGAAGTTTCGGAGAATTTGGATTCTCGTTATCTGTTCCTTTCGTGATTAAGTTGAGCTTTGCTTTTGATGATTTGGAGTCTTTTCGCTAATAGGTTTTTGTTCCTTTTGTATTTGCTGCCAGGACCGTGTGATAGAGTTCATGATCCAAAGCTGAAAGAAAGGTAGGTTTGGGCGTTTTGTTTTGATTGCCAATGCTATGAAATTACTGCGTTCTATTTCTGCTTTGTTACTGACTACATGTTTTCTGTGGACCTATCCCTGAAATCAGAATAAGGGTGGTTTTTTATTGATTATTGATGTATTCCAGGAACTTGTCAAATTGTATGTTTCGTGTTTGTTCTAATTGCTGAGCTCTTCATTATGTCATCTGGTTCAATATGAATATTAAATTAGCTACTTCTTGATGCTGTTGCATAAGCTATTAATTGGTTTCTTTATATGAAACTAGCTGCCTCATATGTGCAATGAAAGATGGATGTTGAACTTGCAAAGCAACCTTGGTGTGCTGTTTTTTATTGTTGATTTAACTGAAGTAAACTGTTGATCAGGTCCTTGTTAGAAGAGGAGAACAATTTTTCCAGTTCAAATTAGTGTCAGTGGTTTTCACTTCAAGCTTTTTGAGTTGATTTTGTTTTGTGTTTGTTTATAGATCCCAATTAGATGTTCCATCAATGTTATTGGTCTCCTTCATCAGAATTTTCTTATACTTTCTGCATATGTATGCAAACTTGATCTAATGGGTGTTTTAATTATTTCCTAACTTTAGCTTTGAGAAGTCCCCAAGACATGATGCATATCTGGCCAAATTTGAAGCTGAACTTGCTCAGAGATGTGAGAAATTGGTAAGTCTCTTACTTCATGATTTTGATTGCTTGTTTTTATATGTTTACATATGATCCTGTTCTATATAGGTTATGGAATTGGATAGAAGAGTTAGACGTGGACGAGAGCGCCTAGCTCAAGGGGATGAACCTATACCACCTCCTCCACTGTCAGCTGACAAGTCTGAACGATTGTCTGTAGTGGAGGAAAAAATAAAAAACCTGCTGGTGCAAGTGGAGGCCCTTGGCGAAGGTGGGAAAGTGGATGAAGCTCAAGCTCTTATGAAAAAGGTGTTCTCATTTTACTTGTTTTCCTATTGCAGCCAACTCTTCACCCCGACCTGAAAATAACAAAAATAGAAAACAATGCATTTGTGCTTTTATCTTGCAGCTCCTCCTTGAAAGTATGGTATTGTGTTAAACTTTGTTTATTATTATTATTATTATTATTATTTTGAAATATGAAATAGCTTGTTCAACCAGTGACTTGAATCTTAACTTTTGTGACTTTTCTAACAGGTTGACGAACTTAATGCTGAGAAAGCACTGATACAATCCCAGAATGATAAAGTATTGGTGGTTCCACAGGAGAAAAAGATGGCTTTGTGTGAGATTTGTGGTTCTTTTCTAGTTGCGAATGATGCTGCAGAGAGAACTCAGTCTCATGTCACGGGAAAGCAGCACATAGGGTACGGGATGGTCCGGGATTATATCTCCGAGTACAAGGTGAGTTAGCTTCTTTGTATTAATTCAGCGTACAATACATTTGTTTCTTTTAGTGAACTGAGAATGTGGAATACACATTGCAGGATGCTAAAGAGAAGGCAAGGGAAGAGGAAAGACTAGCAAGAGAAAAAGAAGCTGAAGAACGGAGGAAACTGAGGGAGAAGGAATATGAGAGTAGGAGGAGGAGGAGTGATTCAGGAGATAGAGATCGGTACCATAGTAGAGATAGAGAAAGGGAGCGGGACAGGCACCGAGATCGTGAAAGATCAAGGGAGTGGAATGGTAGGGGTAGTCGAGATGATTGGAGGACTAGGAATGGAAGAGATGGTGGGCGGGATAGGCACCGTGATCGGAGCAGGTCACGTTCCCCTGTTAGACATGGTCACCGGAAGTCACCTAGAAGTCCAGTTCTGCCATATTAGAGGATTATGTTGATAGATTTCTGAGTTTAAAATTATGAGGTAGACTTTTTTAATCTCAAAGTTTCATGAACATGTGCTTTTGGAGTCTCACGTTAAATGTCATCATGGGTAAATTTTTTCTTGTTATCTCACAGCTGTATTGAGAGTTTACCTCCCTTTCATCAAATATTATTAGAGGAGAAAAGGTATTATTAGAGGAGAAAAGGGTTGAGGTAGGTATTACTTTATGCTGTTGTAACTACTTTATGTTCTTTTTTAGACTTTGGTTGAACTGAACCTTTTTTTATGCATTTGTCTCTGGAACATTGCTTCAGAGTCTAGTATCTGTCTCATATCTTTGATCATTGATGTTCTCATACTTAAGAGGACAGATTCGAAATATATGCTTGAGTGACACTGCTGCTGAGACTGATGATGGTTTAGTGTCTCAATCTCGAGGTAACAAACAAATCTTATTTTCTAACATGACTTGCGCCAATAGGTTGACTTCTCCTTATCATAGCCAGCTTCTTTCTTTCTTTCTTTCTTTCTTTTTGCCAATTCAAAGTTGGATCTTTTTTGTTTGCAACTGCTGCTTGGTTGACAAAACAGGGAAAGAAATCTGTGAATCCCAAGCTCTAGTGCTATTAACCATGCCCCATTTCAAGTGAGCTTGCATTTCATTATTAGCATGTTGATGATCTAGTAGGTAGGAAAGCACATTTCCCTACTTAATTTTGCCTTTGCCGTTGTCATATGGAACTCAAAGTGACTGGGTGGTGTGAGTGCTTTGCAAATAAATAGGCAGTTCACCAAATATGTGTGGGTGGGTATCTGACCAGGAAACCTTAACTGTTCGGTTTCATGGAAAAGCAGAATTTTTCGTCTTACAGAGTAGTGAGTGCCTTTGGAGTAAAAATTTTCAAAAGCCAGGATCCGCCAATTATAGGTAACTGCCCTTCACAGAGTACTTTATAGAGCTCAGATGTCTCTAAAGCTCAATTGCTTGAATAGTATTTTTATGCTTGTCTGGAAATATACTTCAGTGGACTGGAACTGGATGCACTTTATGGATGCACTTTAACTTGAAATGGTGTTGACCTGGAGGTAACTTGAATCTATATGATAGATCAAATAGCATATTTCTGTTCCAGCTTGCAGGAAAGACATGTAATCTGTTGAACTTGGATGGCAGAGTTGCCGCTAGTGAGTAAGTACCTGATGTAATTGGGATGGTTTGTGCGTTGGAATATTGAAATAAGGTAGTGCTATCTTATTGAACAGGGAAATATGTACATGACAATTTGCAGTTTGAAAGTTTTGCAATCTTGCATTGTTGAAATAAGCTATGTTGCATTTCTAGCATATGGATTTTGTTTCATTTGCCAATATGCATGCTATCAGTTCAAAAGCTTATGGTCACAGTCCTGGTACACAACTTTGCTGCTTGAGCTTGTCTATGTTTTGGTGGGGACTTTTTCTTTTTCTTTTTTTTTCTTTTTCTTTTTCTTTTTTTTTTTTTTTTGGGAAAACTGAAAGTTGGATATCATTCGGGACATGTAAGCAGCTCCAACGCCTTCCACGTGATGGAATGCCGGATAAGCTGCTAATGGCTGCATGCTCTAGCCCTTGCTGGTACAACGCCATTGATTTGTCATTCATTGAGAATTGTTGCAGCCATGCAGAACGGTAAAAGGCGGACCTGAAAGGAGGAACTAAAATTTTTATCTACACCTGTTACGAGTCTGAAAGGAATTAGCACCAAGTTATTTCTTCGACTTTAGCCAAAATTTTGTCAATGCAACTGACAGTTAATTTGTACCAATAATTGCCAACTCCATTGTCTTGGTTGATTTGGCAACGTTGTACGTCATCCCTGCTGAGTATAACCTACTTCGTGCCATACAAGTAGGGTTCTTTGTCTTGGAAAATTAGAGTAGCTACCTGGTTAGGTTTGCTAGAAAAATGAAAATTTTAACTTGCGCATAGAGGGCTTCTTATTTTGAGGGAGATGTGGCTCAATTACTTTTGGGTTCTACCTCATTTTTCACCACAAAGTTCAGTGTAGCAGTTCATTGTACACGAGACAGGGGGCCTAAAATTAGATAGCACACAAGAACGCTAGTAGCATGAGAAAACTACCGGTAATGAAGAGCAAAAGAGTAAATTATAAATGAGTCCCTTAGTTTTTCGGAAGGAACTAAATAGTCTCTTTAGTTTCAATAACCAATTAATTAATCTTTATATATTTTTTAATCTATTTGTAATTGAATCCTCTTTTTTTAAAATTTATCTTTTAATAGATAGAAAAAAAAATTAAGTAAAAAATATGGAAAAAATCCATGAGAAAAGGGGACATTTTCTAAACAAAATAATACTAAATTAAGCATGATTAACACTGTTTAAAAGATTAGTTAATTAGTTTTTGAAGCAAGAGGGATAGTTTAATTTGTTATGCAAAAACTAGTGACTAATTTATAATTTACTCATAGCAAAACGAGGTCCAGCCACTTTCGTACCTTACAGAATTTATCCATAAACGACTTTATCTGTGGCTCTCATTTTTAGTTTTTCATTGTTCTCAAGCTCTGCCAAGAATGCAAATGAATAGCTTTCTATCAAACTAATCACCAACAGCAACATCCGCCACTAGCATTTAGCTTCTCAGTACTTCAACCATGAGTGACACAGTGGACAAGCTGGTCATCTTCCTAGCAAAGAGAGATGGCATAGATAAGCTTGTTAAGACTTTCCAGTATGTGTCCAAGCTTGTTCACTGGCATGCAGAAGCCAACCATCCAGACGTTGCACAGAGATTCAAGCAATGGGAAGTTGCTTCTGGCCTTAGTAGGAAAGCCTTTAGAACTGGCAGGTTTCTCACTGGCTTCAATGCTCTTAGAAGAGGCCCTGGCTCAACCCCAACTTTTAAAATCCTTGCTGTTCTTGCTAACGCAGGAGAAATGGTCTATTTCTTTTTTGATCATTTTCTTTGGTTATCAAGAATTGGAACTTTGGATGCAAAATTGGCAAGAAGGATGAGCTTCATTTCAGCATTTGGTGAGTCTTTTGGCTATATATTTTTTATAATAGCTGATTTTATTATAATGAAAGAAGGAATAGAAACAGAGAGAAGGCTCTTAGTTTCTTCAAAAGGAGATGATTTAAAGGATGCGAAAGAGAGCATAAGGAAGATCAGAGCAGAGAGAGTGATGAGGTTGATGGCAGTAGCAGCTAATGTTGCCGATTTGATTATTGCTCTGGCAGATATCGAGCCCAACCCATTTTGCAACCATTCTGTTACTCTTGGTATCAGTGGGTTGGTCTCTGCATGGGCTGGTTGGTATAGAAATTGGCCCTCGTAAAAGAAACTTCTCAAGTCATAGTTCAAATACCTACCAACCAAGTCTAGAGTATGTATCTCATTTATGTTGTAGTAGTAATGGAAATTACACTCTTTCATGCGAAAATTTCTTGCAGCTTAAGCGTTCCATCTTATTAAGTGTTGGTTTATGGCTTTACTTTGAAAATTTGTCAAATTGTAGTTCAAATGCGTAGCAGCAAATCTTCAAAATGGAAATAATAATAATAATAATAATAATAATAATAATTTGAGTTGTATCTATGGAAATTGTAGTATTTTATTATCATATTAGATTAACATGATTATATCACTATAATTTTAGGCTCAGGTACGTTGAACTGAATCAAATTTCATAAAATTGTCATGTAAAGCATAAAGCAATCAGGCTCAATAAATAAAATTTAAAAAAAAAAATTGAGAAAACATCATACGATAATACTTTCGGCCACAATCTTGCCGGTCCATACATGCCAGCTGCATTGCCCTTAGAAAAAAAGGAAAATAAGAACCTCAAATTTCTTCTCATTCTAGCTGTTCTTAGTTTGCTTTTCCCTCTCTTTATTTCTTTAAAGTTGCTGAAAGCAAACTCGATCGGAAGTATTATTGTACATAAAGAATGCGGCTGGATTTTGAAATAAAGAGTCGGTTTAGAATAAGTTATGAAAATTAAAATTCAATAACTGTTTTTTCATAAATAATTTACAAAAAAATAAGTTAACTTAGAAACATATGTTGGGTAAATAGTTGCAAGGATCCGTCTATTCTTTATTTTATCTTTCTATGCCTCTCTATTCATTTTCGTTATAAATTCGTCCTTCTATATTTAATTTTTGTCCTAATCTCATCTCTTTATTAATTTTTGAAGTCAACGGTAGCCTCACATAATTGTGATAGATGTCATTTTTTTTAATCTCATTTCTTTCCTCTCTTTTTTCCATTTTAATGTTTTTTTTTTTATTAAATTCAAATAAATAAATTTTAAAAAATAAAAATTGAAAAAAAAAGTGAAGATATATCTGGTCATTTTCTTTAGGAAAAAAAAAGTAAAGATAAAAATATTTTTTTAATCTAAAATATCATTTATCGATTTAAATTTATCTCTATAATAATAAAATAAAATATTTAAACTATTTTTTAATATGAAGAGAATTTTAGTTAAATTTTTAATATAAATTTTTGTTAGTGTTGGGACCAACACTAATGAGTTTCTTAATTTGACTAAAATTTGTAACAAAATTTATATTTCTACTTTTACGTCAAATTAAGAAATTTATGAAATCAAAATAAGTAAATTATAATAGACTCTTTTGAGGTATTATAAAATTATAAATATCATTTAAAAGTATAAAAATTTATCTAAAACTCTCTTCGCATTTAAAAAATATTATAAATATTTCATTTTATAATAAAAAATTATTTACTATGATAGAGATAAATTTAAACTCATAAAAGATATTTTGGGTAAAAATAGTTTTATCTTCACCTTTTTTAGCTTGTTTTTAAATAAATAAAAAAATTTAGAGAGAATGACCAAATGTATCTTTGTTTTTTTTCTCCAATTTTTTTTATTTCCCAAAATTTATTTATTTAAATTTGGTACAAAAAACAAGATTAAGATAGATAGATAGAGAGAGAGAGAGAAAGAGAGAGAGAGAGTAGAGGGAAGCGATTAAGATAAAAAAAAAAAAACAAGTCGACATGTTTTGCAATTGTATAGAGCTAACGATGCGATTTAGTAATATTAATTTAAAAAATTAATGAAGGGATGAGATTAAGATAAAAATCAAATGTAGAGAGGCTTAAGATGAAAAAGAATAGAAGAATGTGATTAAGAGGAAAGAACGAGTAGGGCAACCCTACAACCATTAACCCAACATATATTTGATAAAAATTAACTAGAGGTAGCTTTCTTTCTCTCTCCTTTTTTTTTTTTTATTTTTTTTATTTTTAAGTTTGTATGTATGAAGAGAGATAGTATAAGTAGGTGAAAAGTGATTCGAGTAATATTTTGACTAAACTTTTTAGTAATCTTTAATTTAAGTTAAAGTTATTTCTAACTAAATACATTTATGTTTTTTTAATAAAAAATAATTTAATCAATTTGCAAAAATATCACAAGTTAAAGATTATAAATAAGTAATTTGATTATTCTGATTAATTACTTTGATAGCTGATTAATTATTAATTTATAGAATAGTCATCTAAAACTGTAAAATAGTTTCAACATGTTGTGTTTTCAAAGATAACTTTATTTATTTTTTTTATATAAAAGATTAATTTAATTGATTTAACTCATCTCATGTTTCAATAAATATTATGCAAGTAGAGGTAATAACTTTTTAAGATGATGTTATTCCTTCCATTGTTACTCATACTCCATCGTCATTTCGTGTTGGATTATATTGACAAAAAAAATATTGATCAAAATTATTAGTAATTATTATTATACTATTTTAAATACAAATTCGTTTCACAATGGTAAAAAATGATTATTTTTTATAATGGTTAGAAATGATAAAAAAACAATTATTTTTAATAATGATAAAAAACAGTTTCATAACAATCAAAAAAGGTTATTTTTCATCCTTTATAAATAGAACTCTTTTTTTTGTCATTTGGATATAACAACAACTTTGTATACTCTTACTATATATATATAAGCAACATTGCTTATTTTGCTTAGTGAAAAAAAAATTTCTTTTATTTTTTTCAGCTTCTTTAGTCTCTCAATTATAAAAACCATATAATTTTTATTAGTTTTATCTTTGGATAAGAGTGGTAGTATTATATTTTGAGTTTTAAGTCTTACAAGTATTGTAAATTTATTAAGACACGACAAGGTGACTAAGTTTATTGTATCTCCGATATGGCGTGTAATATATTCTTAATGGTTAAAAACGATGCGGTGGATTATATTGATAAAAAATAATATTAATTTTGATCAAAATTATTAGAAATTATTATATTATTATTTTAAATACAAAATCGTTTCACAACGGTCAAAAATGACTATTTTTCATAATGGTTAAAAACGATTTCATAATGGTTAGAAACGATAAGAAAAAAAAATAGTTATTTTTAATAAGGATAAAAAAAAGTTTCATAACAATTAGAAAATGTTATTTTTCACCACTTATAAATAGAACTCTTTTTTTGTCATTTGGATATAACAACAACTTTATATACTCTTATCGTATACATATAAATAAGCAACATTGCTTATTTTGCTTAGTGAATTTTTTTTTAGCTTCTTTACTCTTTCAATTAAAAAACCATATAATTTTTATTACCTATATCTTTGGGTAAGAGTGGTAGTATTATATTTTAAGTTTTAAGTCTTACAAGTATTGCAAACTTATTAAGACACGACAAGGTTGCTAAACTTATGCTATCTCTAATACGGTGTGTAATATATTCTTCATTTGTGACATCAAATAAATTTTGTAGACGAGTGCATATTGTCTCAAAAAAATAATCTAGTTGTGTCTCGAGACGAGTCATCTAAAAAGTAAAACTATTTTGATGATTTGGTTATCTTTATATCATAAAACATAGTAATGTGATTTTAATCCCTAACTTTTCTAATGATCGGGTAAGAAATTCAAATTTTTTTCATTTTAATTTAAATGAATTTATTTATTTATTACGGTGAATTTTTATTATTTTTTTATGTTCTACAAACAACAATTTGAGATGATATGAATGTCTATGATTTTCTAAAATCATGAAAAAAAAAGTTGGACATGAAATTTAATATTATGTTTTTTTAATAATTTCAAAGCCATTACTTGCTTATTGTTTGGTTTTTAATGATTTTGTTATATATATATATATATATATATATATATCACCGACATCTTAGTTAGTTGTATTGCTTTTTAAAAATAAATTTACTCTATATTTGGTCGTTGTACTATTTTAATTTTTTTGATCGAGACTCTCTATTTTTATTTTTTTCAGCTTGGTACTTTTTAAGATTTGTCGATTCAAACCCTCCATTATAACTTCATCAATTATTAATCCGACATGGCATGTTATCGTCAACGAGTCATCAATCATCACCGATTCACATGTGACGTTGTGGTTCCAAATAATAGTGTTTTCATCCAAAATTAAAAAATAAATACTTTTTTTTAATAATAAAATAATACTTAGAATTAAAAAATTATTGAAAAGACAAATTGCCCCCACCCTATTATCCCAAAATACATCACTCTCTCTTCGCTGTCTCTTTCTAAACACATACGACTTTGCTTCTTTTTTCTTCTTCTTCTCTGATTCAAACTTTAAGCTTTCTAAATTTTCAGTCCCTCACTTTGCTTCTTCTTTTTCTTTTTCTCCGATTGAAACCTTAAGCTTCCTAAATGTTCTAGTCTCTTAATTTACTTCTTTTTTCTCTTCGATTGAAACTCTAAATTTGTTCTCTCTCTCTCTCTCTCTCAAAACTCTAAATTCCAAAAATCCCTAAATACCAAGTACTTGCATTGATCTATTAAGCCTAACTTTAAGCTTAATAGATTATAATCACTACATTGATCTTATCTTCTTCTTTTTTCAAACAACTACATCAATCTTATCTATAGAATTGCATTTTGTTAGACGTTGACTTCGATCGATATGCAATGTTAGATGATAGCGTGGAAAAATGGGGAGAACAAGCTCCTAATTTATCCAACAAAATACAAGTACTTAACAAATATGAGCAATTTAAAAGCAAGTGCAACATTCATCCATTAGCTTTACGCAGACCAAAGCCCACTTTTCAAGCCAGGCTTTGTTTGGAAAGAAATCGTCTAGATCCTTCTAGATCCCCTCTTCAATCGGAGCTCTAAACTTCCATTCAAAACATCTAAAACCATGATTGTTAATTTTTTTCCACTATGGTTTCTGACTAATTAATGTACTGTTAACTTTAATTAATTAATTATTTTCATAAAATGACTTGAAGTGAGTAAAAAAATTAATCAAAAACCCACTTCTTCTTGAAGAATACCTCCCTCT